CCACACTGCAGGTCACAACACACTCAGCCACTCACCACACTGCAGGTCACAACAACACACTCACCCACTCACCACACTGCAGGTCACAACAACACACTCACTCACTCACCACACTGCAGGTCACAACAACACACTCACCCACTCACCACACTGCAGGTTACAACAACACACTCACTCACTCACCACACTGCAGGTCACAACACTCTCACCCACTCACCACACTGCAGGTCACAACAACACACTCACCCCTACACTCACCACACTGCAGGTCACAACAACACACTCACCCACTCACCACACTGCAGGTCACAACACTCTCACCCACTCACCACACTGCAGGTCACAACAACTCACTCACCCTCTCACCACACTGCAGGTCACAACAACACACTCACTCACCACACTGTAGGTCACAACAACACACTCACCCCTACACTCACCACACTGCAGGCCACAACAACACTCACTCACCACACTGCAGGTCACAACAACTCACCCACTCACCACACTGCAGGTCACAACAACACACTCACCCCTACACTCACCACACTGCAGGCCACAACAACACTCACTCACCACACTGCAGGTCACAACAACTCACCCACTCACCACACTGCAGGTCACAACAACACACTCACCCCTACACTCACCACACTGCAGGCCACAACAACACTCACTCACCACACTGCAGGTCACAACAACACTCCCACACACCACACTGCAGGTCACAGCAACTCACTCACTGCAGGTCACCTCGCTTGTCTGCCTCTTCCCCTGCACTGCTCTACTTTAGAATTCCCCCGCAGTGTCTCTTTCCCAAGTTCCTAAGACCTCGCTCAATGCAAGACACGTGTCAGCTCTCGTCTATTACAGCTTTAATCGTGCTGTTTGTTGCTGGACACTTGACGTGTTGGGCCACTGTACCTGCGTTCAGCACCCGTGGTGTAAGAGATTATCGAGGTGATGTGAGGAGGAGGGTCCCCGTGCGTTTGGGGTCCGTGGGAGCGGTGGTGCAACGGTTAGCGCGCCGCTCTCTTCGAACCCGGAGACCCGAGTTCGATTCCCACTCACGGCCAGCGCCAGTGACGAGTATCTGAACCGGTCATGGGCCTCCTCTAGGTCGACCCGGCCTCAAATGAGTACCTGGCGCGGTGTGTAAACATCGCCACTGGGAGACAAAGGCCGCCGGGCGTGGTGCTGGCCACCCACCCCCTCGTGTGCCACAGTGCCGGCCTTCATAGGTGCTGCTCGCTGACAGCACTTGCCCCAAGTCTGTTACAGGCTACACGGGGGAGCTTTGTCTGTGGGGTGCGTGGTTTGCTGCTGGGACCCCCACTTGAGCCCGATCAGGGACCCCCCCCCCCCAACAAGTTCACTTCCCAAGTAGCCCCCCATGCTGAACACGACCCGGGCACACGCGACCCACACACAGCTCCCTCTCTGGGTGACGAGGGGGTACGTGCCGGGTCCCTCTCCTACTGTACGGGTCCCTCTGCTACTGTACGGGTCCCTCTGCTACTGTACGGGTCCCTCTCCTACTGTACGGGCCCCTCTGCTACTGTACGGGTCCCTCTGCTACTGTACGGGTCCCCCTGCTACTGTACGGGTCCCCCTGCTACTGTACGGGTCCCTCTGCTACTGTACGGGTCCCTCTGCTACTGTAGGGTCCCTCTGCTACTGTACGGGTCCCCCTGCTACTGTACGGGCCCCTCTGCTACTGTACGGGTCCCTCTGCTACTGTAGGGTCCCTCTGCTACTGTACGGGTCCCCCTGCTACTGTACGGGCCCCTCTGCTACTGTACGGGTCCCTCTGCTACTGTACGGGTCCACATCGCCCCCCACGCCCCACAATGTCCACGCCGCCTCCTGCGGCAGCAGCAGCGGCAGCGCCAATGAACTCGGGCAGGACCCTCCCCTCGTGAGACAGGAGAGTCGCGAGACTCAGTGAGGCCCTCCGTGGGGGCACACAAGGCACGAATAAAACACACACACACAGACACTGTCTTGTTGTTGTTGAGTCTGTGTTGTTGTTTATCTGTGTGTGTGTCTATGTTGTTGTTGTTGATCTGTGTGTGTCTGTGTTGTTGATCTCTGTGTGTGTCGTCTATGTATCTGTGTTGTTGTTGTTGATCTGTGTGTGTCTGTGTTGTTGTTGATCTGTGTGTGTGTGTCGTCTCTGTGTCTGTGTTGTTGTTGTTGATCTGTGTGTGTGTCGTCTCTGTGTCTGTGTTGTTGATCTGTGTGTGTATCGTCTTTCTGTGTTGTTGTTGTTGATCTGTGTGTGTGTGTCTGTGTTGTTGATCTGTGTGTGTGTCGTCTCTGTGTCTGTGTTGTTGTTGTTGTTGATCTGTGTGTGTGTCTGTGTTGTTGTTGTGTGTGTGTCTGTGTTGTTGTTGTTGATCTGTGTCGTGAACAGTCCCCGTCTCAACAGTCGGGCGGATTCTTGTCTGTGTGTGCTGTGTGTTGTTTTTGTGTTGATGTGTGGTGTTATTGTGTTAGTGTGTCTTGTTATTGTGTTGATGTGTGTTGATGTGTGGTGTTATTGTGTTGGTGTGTGTGTTGGTATTGTGTTATTGTGTTGATGTGTGTGTTGTTGTGTTGGTGTGTGTTGTTATTGTGTTGATGTGTGTTGTGTTGGTGTGTGTTGTTATTGTGTTATTGTGTTGGTGTGTGTGTTGTCATTGTGTTGATGTGTTGTTAATGCGTTGGTGTGTGTGTTATTGTGTTGATGTGTGTGTTGTTATTGTGTTATTGTGTTGGTGTGTGTGTTGATGTGTGTGTTATTGTGTTGGTGTGTGTTGGTGTGTGTTGTTATTGTTGTGTTGGTGTGTGTGTTGATGTGTGTGTTATTGTGTTGATGTGTGTGTTGATGTGTGTGTTATTGTGTTGGTGTGTGTTGGTGTGTGTTGGTGTGTGTTGGTATTGTTGTGTTGGTGTATGTTGGTGTATGTGTTGATGTGTGTGTTATTGTGTTGGTGTGTGTTGTTATTGTGTTGTGTTGATGTGTGTGTTGTTATTGTGTTGGTGTGTGTTGTTATTGTGTTGGTGTTTGTTGTTATTGTTGTGTTGGTGCCGGCTACCCACCCACCCCTCGTGCGCCGTGCCGGCCTCTACGTCTATCGGTGCTACTCACTCACAGCGCTCGCCCCAACAGTCTGGTGAGAATATTTATATCGGGGATGTCTTTGTTGTTCTGCATGGGTTGATGTGGTGTGTTGTGTTGCTGTGTATGTGTCGCTGTGTCGCTGTGTGTGTTGTGTTGCTGTGTGTTGTTGTGTGTTGATGTGTGTTGTGTTGCTGTGTGTGTTGCTGTGTGAGTTGTGTTGCTGTGTGTGTTGATCTGTGTCGCTCTGTATGTGTCGCTGTGTGTGTGTTGTTCTGCATGGGTTGCTGTGTGTATGTGTCGCTGTATGTGTATGTGTTGCTGTGTGTATGTGTTGCTGTGTGTATGTGTTGCTGTGTGTATGTGTCGCTGTATGTGTATGTGTTGCTGTGTGTATGTGTCGCTGTATGTGTATGTGTTGCTGTGTGTGTATGTGTCGCTGTGTGTATGTGTCGCTGTATGTGTATGTGTTGCTGTGTGTATGTGTTGCTGTGTGTGTATGTGTTGCTGTGTGTATGTGTTGCTGTGTGTATGTGTCGCTGTGTGTATGTGTTGCTGTGTGTATGTGTCGCTGTATGTGTATGTGTTGCTGTGTGTATGTGTTGCTGTGTGTATGTGTTGCTGTGTGTATGTGTCGCTGTATGTGTATGTGTTGCTGTGTGTATGTGTCGCTGTATGTGTATGTGTTGCTGTGTGTGTATGTGTTGCTGTGTGTATGTGTCGCTGTGTGTGTATGTGTTGCTGTGTGTATGTGTTGCTGTGTTATGTGTCGCTGTATGTGTATGTGTTGCTGTATGTGTATGTGTTGCTGTGTGTATGTGTCGCTGTGTGTGTATGTGTTGCTGTGTGCATGTGTTGCTGTGTGTATGTGTCGCTGTATGTGTATGTGTTGCTGTATGTGTTGCTGTGTGTGTGTGTGTTGCTGTATGTGTATGTGTTGCTGTGTGTATGTGTCGCTGTGTGTGTATGTGTTGCTGTGTGCATGTGTTGCTGTGTGTATGTGTCGCTGTATGTGTATGTGTTGCTGTATGTGTATGTGTTGCTGTGTGTGTATGTGTTGCTGTATGTGTGTGTGTTGCTGTGTGTATGTGTTGCTGTATGTGTATGTGTTGCTGTATGTGTATGTGTTGCTGTGTGTATGTGTCGCTGTATGTGTATGTGTCGCTGTGTGTGTATGTGTTGCTGTGTGCATGTGTTGCTGTGTGTATGTGTCGCTGTATGTGTATGTGTTGCTGTATGTGTGTGTGTTGCTGTGTGTATGTGTTGCTGTGTGCATGTGTTGCTGTGTGTATGTGTTGCTGTATGTGTATGTGTTGCTGTGTGTATGTGTCGCTGTGTGTGTATGTGTCGCTGTGTGTATGTGTCGCTGTGTGTGTATGTGTTGCTGTGTGTATGTGTTGCTGTATGTGTATGTGTTGCTGTGTGTATGTGTCGCTGTGTGTGTATATGTTGCTGTGTGTATGTGTTGCTGTGTGTATGTGTTGCTGTATGTGTATGTGTTGCTGTGTGTATGTGTTGCTGTGTGTATGTGTCGCTGTGTGTGTATGTGTCGCTGTATGTGTATGTGTTGCTGTGTGTATGTGTTGCTGTGTGTATGTGTCGCTGTGTGTGTATGTGTCGCTGTATGTGTATGTGTTGCTGTGTGTATGTGTTGCTGTGTGTATGTGTCGCTGTATGTGTATGTGTTGCTGTGTGTGTATGTGTTGCTGTGTGTATGTGTTGCTGTGTGTGTATGTGTCGCTGTATGTGTATGTGTCGCTGTGTGTGTATGTGTCGCTGTATGTGTATGTGTTGCTGTGTGTATGTGTTGCTGTGTGTATGTGTCGCTGTATGTGTATGTCTCGCTGTATGTGTATGTGTTGCTGTGTGTTGTTGTTGTTGTTGCGGATGCTCGTACCCGAGAATACGGGCCTCTCACCGCAGGCCCCGCCAGGTCGCTTCGCCTCTCCTCCTCGTCCTCCTCCCCCTCGTCGTCGTCCTCCTCGTCGTCGTCCATCGTGAGGGGCCTCTCATCCATCTCCTCGTGGGCTGCCCTGCGGAACGGATCCATGGCGCGCTGCCTCTTTGTGTCTGCGTGCGCCTTGTCTCTGTATCTTGTGTCTCTGTGTGTGCGTCTTGTTTGTCTCTGTGTCTGTCTCTGTGTCTATATGTGTGCGTCTTGTCTCTGTATCTTGTCTCTCTCTGTGTCTGTCTCTGTGTGCGTCTTGTCTCTGTATCTTGTCTCTGTGCGTGCGGCTGCCCCGTATCCCCCGACTCGAGTCTCTGGGTGCTGCGCTCTGTGCTGCTTCTGCGCCTCCAGGAATCGCGAGGCGACTGCTGCTGTCACAGAGAGCTGCTGCTACAGCTGACTGCTACAGCTGACTGCTGCTGCTGTCACAGAGAGCTGCTGCTACAGCTGACTGCTACAGCTGACTGCTGCTGCTGTCACAGAGAGCTGCTACAGCTGACTGCTGCTGACTGCTGCTGCTGTCACAGAGAGCTGCTGTCACAGAGAGCTGCTGCTACAGCTGACTGCTACAGCTGACTGCTGCTGACTGCTGCTGCTGTCACAGAGAGCTGCTACAGCTGACTGCTGCTGCTGCTGTCACAGAGAGCTGCTACAGCTGACTGCTGCTGACTGCTGCTGCTGTCACAGAGAGCTGCTGCTACAGCTGACTGCTGCTGCTGCTGCTGTCACAGAGAGCGGCGGCGGCAGCGGCAGAGGCGGCGCAGTTTTGTGAGCCCGCGTTGGGGGCGCGGGGCGGGGGCCAGAGGAGGGGGAACCCGGAGTGGACTCACGCCTAGAGGGGGGGGGGGGGAACCCGGAGTGGACTCACGCCAAGAGGGGGGGGGGACCCGGAGTGGACTCACGCCTAGAGGGGGGGGGGGGGTGGACCGGATGGACTCACGCCAAGAGGAGGGGGAACCCGGAGTGGACTCACGCCTAGGGGGGGGGGGGGGACTCACGCCTAAGGGGGGGGGGGGGGGAACCCGGAGTGGAATCACGCTAGAAGGGGGGGGGGGGAACCCGGAGTGGGATCACGCCTAGGAGGGGGGGGGGGACACGGAGGGAACACGCCAAGAGGGGGGGGGGGGGGGGTGGGGGAACCCGGAGTGGACTTCACCGACCTAGAGGAGGGGGGGGGACCGGAGGGACTCACGCCAAGAGGGGGGGGGGGGGGTACCCGGATTGGACTCACTCCTAGAGAGGGGGGGCGGACCCGGAGTGGACTCCACGCCTTAGAGAGGGGGGGGACCCGGCGTGGACTCACGCCAAGAGGGGGGGGGGGGGGGGAACCGGAGTTGATTCACGCCAGAGAGGGGGGGGACCCGGAGTGGACTCAAGCCTAAGAGGGGGGGGGGGACCCGGAGTGGACTCACGCCCAAGAGGGGGGGGGGGGACCGGAGTGGACTCACGCCAAGAGGGGGGGGGGGGACCCGGAGTGGACTCACGCCAAGAGGGGGGGGGGGGGACCGGAGTGGACTCACGCCAAGAGGGGGGGGGGGACCGGAGTGGACTCACCGCCAAGAGGGGGGGGGGGACCCGGAGTGGACTCACGCCAAGAGGGGGGGGGACCCGGAGTGGACTCACGCCAAGAGGGGGGGGGAACCGGAGTGGACTCACGCCAAGAGGGGGGGGGGGGGGACCCGGAGTGACTCACTCCAAGAGGGGGGGGGGGGGACCCGGAGTGGACTCACGCCAAGAGGGGGGGGGGGGAACCCGGAGTGGACTCACGCCAAGAGGGGGGGGGGGGACCCGGAGTGGACTCACGCCTAGAGAGGGGGGGGGGACCCGGAGTGGACTCACGCCTGAGGGGGGGGGGGACCCGGAGTGGACTCACGCCAAGAGGGGGGGGGGGGACCCGGAGTGGACTCACGCCCAAGAGGGGGGGGGGGGACCCGGAGTGGACTCACGCCAAGAGGGGGGGGGGGAACCCGGAGTGGACTCACGCCAAGAGGGGGGGGGGGGACCCGGAGTGGACTCACGCCAAGAGGGGGGGGGGGACCCGGAGTGGACTCACGCCAAGAGGGGGGGGGGGACCGGAGTGGACTCACGCCAAGAGGGGGGGGGGGGACCCGGAGTGGACTCACGCCAAGAGGGGGGGGGGGGACCCGGAGTGGACTCACGCCAAGAGGGGGGGGGGGGGACCCGGAGTGGACTCACGCCAAGAGGGGGGGGGGGACCCGGAGTGGACTCACGCAAGAGGGGGGGGGGGACCCGGAGTGGACTCACGCCAAGAGGGGGGGGGGGGGGACCCGGAGTGGACTCACGCCAAGAGGTGGGGGGGGGGGACCCGGAGTGGACTCCGCCTAAGAGGGGGGGGGGGGGGACCCGGAGTGGACTCACGCCTAAGAGGGGGGGGGGGGGACCCGGAGTGGACTCACGCCAGAGGGGGGGGGGGGGGACCCGGAGTGGACTCACGCCTAGAGGGGGGGGGGGGGGACCCGGAGTGGACTCACGCCTAGAGGGGGGGGGGGGGGACCCGGAGTGGACTCACGCCTAGAGGGGGGGGGGGGACCGGAGTGGACTCCCGCCAAGAGGGGGGGGGGGGACCCGGAGTGGACTCACGCCTAGAGGGGGGGGGGGCGAACCCGGAGTGGACTCACGCCTAGAGGGGGGGGGACCCGGAGTGGACTCACGCCAGAGGGGGGGGGGGGGGGGACCCGGAGTGGACTCACGCCTAGAGGGGGGGGGGGAACCCGGAGTGGACTCACGCCAAGAGGGGGGGGGGACCCGGAGTGGACTCACGCCAAGAGGGGGGGGGGGGACCCGGAGTGGACTCACGCCAAGAGGGGGGGGGGGGGGGCGGAACCCGGAGTGGACTCACGCCAAGAGGGGGGGGACCCGGAGTGGACTCACGCCAAGAGGGGGGGGACCCGGAGTGGACTCACGCCATAGAGGGGGGGGGGAACCCGGAAGTGGACTCACGCCAAGAGGGGGGGGGGGAACCCGGAGTGGACTCACGCCTAGAGGGGGGGGGGGGGAACCCGGAGTGGACTCACGCCAAGAGGGGGGGGGGGGGACCCGGAGTGGACTCACGCCAAGAGGGGGGGGGGGGGACCCGGAGTGGACTCACGCCAAGAGGGGGGGGGGGGACCCGGAGTGGACTCACGCCAAGAGGGGGGGGGGGGGAACCCGGAGTGGACTCACGCCAAGAGGGGGGGGGGGGACCCGGAGTGGACTCACGCCAAGAGGGGGGGGGGACCCGGAGTGGACTCACGCCAAGAGGGGGGGGGGAACCCGGAGTGGACTCACGCCAAGAGGGGGGGGGGGGAACCCGGAGTGGACTCACGCCAAGAGGGGGGGGGGGGACCCGGAGTGGACTCACGCCAAGAGGGGGGGGGGGGACCCGGAGTGGACTCACGCCAAGAGGGGGGGGGGGGAACCCGGAGGGGACTCACGCCAAGAGGGGGGGGGGGACCCGGAGTGGACTCACGCCAAGAGGGGGGGGGGGGACCCGGAGTGGACTCACGCCAAGAGGGGGGGGGGGGGACCCGGAGTGGACTCACGCCAAGAGGGGGGGGGGGGGAACCCGGAGTGGACTCACGCCTAGAGGGGGGGGGGGAACCCGGAGTGGACTCACGCCTAGAGGGGGGGGGGGGGACCCGGAGTGGACTCACGCCAAGAGGGGGGGGGGGAACCCTGAGTGGACTCACGCCTAGAGGGGGGGGGGGACCCGGAGTGGACTCACGCCTAGAGGGGGGGGGGGGAACCCGGAGTGGACTCACGCCTAGAGGGGGGGGGGGGGACCCGGAGTGGACTCACGCCTAGAGGGGGGGGGGGGACCCGGAGTGGACTCACGCCAAGACGAAGGTACTTTTCAAGCCCACTGGCTATCAACAAAGATTATTTCATGAAGCCATCCATATATACAGACACAACAATTTCAACCGAGAAGATGGGTAAAACTGAGCAATCATTGGAAGGACCTTATCAACCAGTTTAAGTCATAATTGGCTGTGATGTTCCCATCCTACCAACTTCCGATGTTAGTTGTGCTTCATGCCCATTTCAAACCTTGCGCTTCCACAGTCACTTCGCGTGCTTACCCCTTGGCTGCGGCTCTGCGTTCTGCCATTAACATGCTCATCTCTCTTTAACATGATAATTTTCAACTGGTAGCCCTCTGATTGGTGGAAAACCAACCACCGTCGGGTTGGCTGCCCACCACTCACATGATCATTGGCTGCGGACATTTGGGCTACGCCCATTTCAAACCTTTATTAACAGTTTGCCTTGGAAGCGAACCCCCCTTTTCCTGAAGACGACCGCTTGTTTTGCGAAAGAAATGTAGTTTTTTGTATTTTTTTTTTCTTTGAACCTATCTACGTGACTTTACCGAAAGACCCAATAATATGTACTGCTCTAATGTTTGTTTAATTCTCAACCAATACGTGACACGTGCGTTTAACATGCATGTTTAATTACGAGCAACATTGCATAATCGTTCAATTGCGTAACGTTTTTGTAATACATTGCCAATAATGAAACATGCTACATGTACTGTATATATGTGAGTATATTGGTGCAAATTCAACTTTCGGGATCAAACTATACTATCGATCATGCCAGAGAGGGGGAGGGGTGGGTGGCCAACACCACACCCGGCCGCTTTTGTCTCCCCAGTGCTGATGTATCACACATCGTACCCGCTTGAGGCTGAGTCCACCTAAGTCAAGGGTCGTGAGCAGGAATCAAAAACTCGGGCCGTCGAGTTCGTATCGCGGTGCCGCGCTAACCACTGGGCCACCCTAACCACTGGGCCACCACACAGATCATCCGTGCGCCTCTGGCAGTGTCGAATGGGGTTTGTGTAGCACCCAGGTCCTTTTGCCTATAAACGTCTTGGATCGTTTTAAGCAAGTTATGGCTGCTGATGAGAGATACTGAATGTTGAAACCGGTCTAGAGTTTGCTTGCGGTGAACTAATGGTGCTTACGTTATGTACAGTATATGTAAAATATGATTTTTACTTGGAGGGACAGTAGACATATGGGAAGGAGGCATATTGTCTGCTTCGTTATTGAACGTGCTACACTTGATTTTTTAAGGGGAGTTCAAGAGACTTTTTTTTGTGCCAATGACACCGCCTCCACCGATCATCGTCGCCAACACAGATCGAGTACCTCGTCGACTCAAGTCCCAAACCCATCCCTTCGCCAAGATCCGGGAGGAACGCTGCTGGTCAGCAGAGTGGAACAATACTGAATTATAAAAAAAAAGGGCTTCAGGGTAAAAAGGCTTCAGGGTAAAGCCCTTTTTAAATCCTTTATATTAAGTTCACTTGCTTGCTTGCGTGCTTGCTTACGACCGTGCAAATCTTTCGGTCGTTTTTTAACCCACTTCCCGTGATCCAATCGAGCAGACATTTTGCACACAGACTCGTTGTGCGTGACAATTAATTTTCGTGAAATTTTTTTTTTCAAAATTTTACACTGTTTAGGGAATTTTTTAACAATATTAATTACCAATTGCTTAATGGTGGCAGACAATCATCTGACCCATAGGTGGCAGCCATCTCAAGCCAGAGGACGAGAGGACTCTAGCCGCCACGCATATGAAGTATTTATAGTGAAAAACTTTGTTTTACGGGTTAATTTTTTTATCATTCAACATCTCCAGAGTGGAGCAAGGTGGACGTCCGGAATAAACCCATCTTTCAAGACCTCTTGGTTTATATTCCTCAAAGACACCGGTGGAACCATCAACCGCATTAGAACATCAACAGGCCGCTGCACAGATCTCCAAATAAAGATTCTTATTGTTTCATGAGCGGAATATTAAAAGACAAACCACAATCACAATGTGATTACAGCAATGCAACCCAAACTATAGACCATACAGTAAACCCAACTGTGGTCTGCCCTCCTGCAACGGAGGAGGCATGGAAACACGACACGAACTCTCCCCTGAAGCCCTCCTGTGGCGAGCAAAAATTGGCATTGGGATTTATCTCCCGAACATGTTGCTGTCATACGCAAGAATATAATTTTTGTATCACGTTGACTGTTAAGTTGGAAATGGCTTTGGAAAGCCATCCAGTCATAAAGTTCAGTTTACAATTATCGTAATGACATAATGGCAATGCCGAAGCCGTCGTAATAACCTGCACACATCATGGCCAAGCCCGACGATGTGCGATGAGTCTGCTTCTTCTGTGAGGTTGGGGACACTGTGGAGGCCTTGGGAGGCCGCTGGGCTTGGCGGCTCGGTTGTACGGTGGGCAAGAGGCATCGGCCACTGGGGCAGCACCCGGCAGGTTGTACGAGACGAGAACCAGCAACTAAATAACCCCCCATCGACTCCCCAACTCAAGGTCGATACGGAACCGTGACGAGGAGCAGTATGAACGGTGCACACTACCACGCCCCGACTCGCAACCATTCTCGCCAGCCAGGCTTCGTTCCGTAAGCAATCACCTTTATTTGTGTGTCACCATTAATCACGATCCTGCGCAGCACACATTACATAAGTTTTCACAATCTCCAAAAGACCAAAAAAATTCAACCAAACCATCTCATCTGGCAGAGCTCATCACCAATCTACACAGTATATGAGAAAAATACGTAATACATCTCACTTTTACAACCACATACCATCAGCCAAATATCACAGTTACTTTCACTTAAAACGATGAAATTAAGTGACAATTACGTACAATTGAATGCAAATCATATTTTGGGATGAATCGCAGGCACAGGATATTGAATCATAATCGCACAACCCCCATAATTGGAAGGCATCGGAGTGTACAAAGGAGTGCCGGTTTCCACAAACCAAACCCTGACAAATTGGTTGTTGCCACCCGAACACATGCCAATTTTTGACTCTGGGTCGAACCCAGAAAAGGTGGCACCCTATCTGTTACATTAATATTATTAGGAAACTTCACCTTCCAAACACCTATTGCGATTCATAATTTGAGTTAGGTCACGTAATGAACCGGCCAATATTTTGTTGCAAAGCCCTCCACCGCACGACGTAGCGAACAACATTTAAATGCTATGAGTGCAAAAGTTTTAACGCGCCACAATTGTTTCACCTGTAAGTTGAACAATTCTCACGACAAAATCTAGCAGCAATTAGACACGTTTCGCAAGCATCATCATTGATTTCGTGACCTGACGATGCTTACGAATCCGAATATTGGCTGCAGAAGCCCACGGATAAGGTTAACGCACCCACCCTGCCAACCCCTGATATGCATTTTGTAATCATGCGATGTATTGGGGCCATCCCTACTGCTGGGCATCCAGGCCCAGTGGCCACGTGGTGGTTTGACCTTCTCTTCCACACTGGCAAAACATCTTGTAAATAGTGCAATTGACGGTTTACAATTATCGTTGCCGTCTAATAAGGCATTTTTTTTACCACAACTTAAAAAACCGTTAAATTTCGCAAATTCTAGGATCAATTGGCCACGCAACTCCACAAAAATCTGCAACTCCCCGGCCGGCGGCACGCATCACGGGGCCTCGTGGGATCACCCAAACGCTGGCGCTGCCGAGCCGATGCCGCTTTTCCAGATTTTTTAATTGTTGCCAAGACATTTGACTGCAGGCTCTGGCTTCGTGACAGCTGTGAAAAACCAATTATACATGAATAGCAATGAAATACACAACCGCAATGTTGTAAGTTTCTCCACTCGAAACTAAATACAGGACAAATCTAACGTTTCTAGAGGAAAATACAATACACATGCAGAATATACAGTGTGGTATTTGCGAACTTATTATAGTGGTGTGTTGGGTCACCCCTACTGCAGATGTGCAATTGGTTAACGGACCTCGTCGAGAAGTGCCAACACAACTGTCTTGTACACTGCCCAATCAACCCTGCTCCAGGATTGACTCCCATCACTTTTCACTGTCAATTGTAACACGTGTAGATTCTCATCGGCCTGTGTTATGGCTATGATTGTAAAAAAAAGTTCAGAGAATGGGACACACCTATTTTCCCTTATACACCGCAAATAAAGAAAACCACTTATATCAGCCTGAAGCCTTCAACAAGACAAAAATAGCACAGCAATCCCTCACCAACCGCAAACTTACCAATCACGGAATTCGCGTACACATGTTTTATTATTAAGTGTATACCAATTGACCAACCGCGGCCTGGAAATGTGAGTATCCACAGGTGAGCACGGGGTCCCGCCACACGCATTTGTAGTGACATCACGGGATGTCACTTGTGTAGTGCCGGCCCGAGAGAGGCACGGCGTGCGATGTAACGACATCGCGGACACCACGATGGTGTGGGTGTAGTATCGGCTCTAGAGGGGCTCGGTGAGTACTGGTTGATAGCTCTGGATGGCATCACGCTTGGCGTGCAGTGCCAGCCCTACAGGACAGGGTGTGGGAGTGCCAGCCGTAGGAAAGGGGTTACTAAAGGCCATGGCACTCTGGCTGACCCGAGAGGACACGTGACCGGTGAAGTCTACAAAGGGGCCCCGAGTGGGGGCTAGGGGTGGTCACGTGGTCGGGGTCCAGATCCTGCTCGAGGATTCTGGAAGGTGGTCGTGGCCAAGGGTTGGAGCAGCCACGCCGGAGAGAATAGAAGCCGAGTCCCTCAGAGGGACTGGCGCTGTTCATCCTGAAGAAATCTACGTCGACGTTGTATCGAGTCTCCGAGCTGTGGTCCGGTCCGTAGTAGCAGTTACGTTGTAATTAGTGTAGGTGCCTGGTAGTCACCACCATAGGTTGTTATTCTGTGAAGGGGCAGTTACCCCGCGTGTTTTATTAAATAAATGTGTTGCCTCCAAGAGTACGTCTGCGACTCAGTTGAACTCACGACACATTTACAAATGTCACGCGGTCGCGGTTCTCCGTGCCACAGCGCCACCCGTGGCCACCCGTGGCCACCCGTGGCCACCCGTGGCCACCCGTTGCGCTGCGCAGCTTGATCAGAGCTGTCCCTCTCTTTTGTTACACAGGACACTACAGTAGTTCCTCGGTTAACGTTCTTAATCCGTTCCACGAAAGCTGCTCACCGAAATAACTGTGAATCGAATATGGAAATTACATGAGTCCGCAAGAGAGCTGTTTCTACTGCCAAATCAGAAATCGTATAATGTAAACAAAGCCAGTCGAGGACTTAACGCACATAAATAGGCGTCGTTGATTGGCTGAGGGCATGGCTCAGCCTCTTTTTTTTTTAAGCGCTCAGATTGGCCGAAATTGGCGCCCGCGTGCAGAACGTAAACGTGTCGCTAATCGAAATGTTAACGTCAGTCGTAACCATGGGGTCCTATCGGAGGCGAAACGTTAACCGAAAAACCGTTAACCGATGTCACTGTTAACCGATGGACTGCTGTAATTCTCGCAGAGCATAGACCGCGTCACATCACAACCGCATAAGTTGCTTGTCATACACATTGATTTGCCTTGTTAAAGAAAATAACCACAGCATTACTAATCCCACCAATAGCACCACGATAAACATGTAAAATATAAGAAATAAAGATAAAAAGATAGGTTAATCACGATCGGTTCATAATTTGAAGGTTAATCGCTGTGTTGATTCATTGCCATCCGATCCATGGACCGAGTAATTCTATTGATGAGTGTAAAGTCACGTGATATGCCCCCTTTTTTGATTGGCTAATATCTGCATGATCGGCGATTCCGTCACAGTCCATTTTTATTGTATCAAAGCGCCACTTTGCCTGCCCCTGTACTTCACCAGCCACGGATTTGCCTACCGCAGCCTTTTCCAGGAACCTAACCCCTGCGTTTGGCGAGGGATTACAGTATTTAACTCTGCTAAAATGTAAGTAAAACATACTAGACATGAAAACTGACCCTGTTAGATCCCTGACTCGGTCAAATTAACTCAGCCTATCTTTTGCCCGGGGCTCTGAAATTGAGTACCACTTTGTGGGAAGCCCCAGCAATGGTCGCGCTGTGGAGATAAGGGACTCCGCTGTACGACATCTCCACTGGCTCAAGGGCCACCGATCGCGAGAGCAGGAAGACTCTCTAATGCGACCCCAAGACGGGTAGAGCATTAGTACCTCGTTCAGGAAACGCTTTGGATGCCCGCACACTTCGGAAGCGTTAAAATATCTGCAAAGCACAGAATTAACGACTGCCGGGTAGACGCCGGAATTACCGGAGGCTGCGGGAGCGCACGCACGTGACAACCATGCGAGTTCATGAACACAAAGACCTGGAAAGAAAAACACCACGGGCAGCCACAACAAAGGTGGCAACAGATTGGGATTCTAAAATCACCCAAACCGGGATTGCGCGTGGCGACCACCGCCCCCTTCTGCGTTTATGCCCACAAGGCATAAAACGCTCTGAGACCTTGATGTACAGGGCGCCAAATAAAAAACACTTCCCGTTTATTATGAAAACTGCCGAGCGTGCCCCCACGAGACCCCCCACGAGGCCGCCGGTGTGTCTGGACCTCGCTGAAGTGACCCTCTCCCCGCCACGTGTCAAGCCACAGCCCACGGATGCTGTGCACTCGTTCGTGTTGGGCCTGCGGGGCGAGGTGGGTCCCACCATCCCCGGCTCCTCGTCACCATATGCGGCACTTCTCTTCGGGGTTCATGGCAGCTCCCATGGGGCAGGTGAAGGCCTCGGCAAATGCCGGCGAGTTGGAGACCATGCCACGGACACGCACAGCCGCTGGGCTGTGCGAATCGCTTAGCGCGTCCTCGATCTCCACTTCCGCCGATTCCTTTTCCATCGAGCACCAGAGCTGAGGATGTGAGACGTGCCGACAGGGACCGTGCAGGTTAGCTAATATCGAACTGCTCTCCGTCATTGTGTCTCAGCAGCAGACTTGCTTAAACCGATGCTGAATTGCCAGATGTTTAAAGGCAAGGACCCTCTCTGTAAATAGGGGTCCTAGAAGGTCCTATGCGACATGGTACAATACTCGGCTGTTTGATGTGGAGATACAGATGTGAGGAAGGTGGATTGTCGGCTTATTTAGACACTTAGGTTCAGCGGTGATCGTAGTGAACACGTTACGGACGGTTGACGATGTGGGTTCTCTGTCACTCACCTGAGCAAACCAAACGAAAAACGCCTGCTTGTTGGTGAGGTTTAGGTAGGGGAGGGGCTCTTCCTTGCCATGCTGCTCTTCCCAGCGTGCATAGGCCTGACACAGCACAGATGCAAAGGGCAGGAAGATAACAACAGTGAGACCCAACATAGATATTGCAATCGTGGTGGAGCGACGATGATGAAACAAACTATCAAACCATTTTTATTTATTTTACCAGGTAATGCCCACTGAGCTATGTAGCTCTTTTTCAGAAGCGACATGGCTATCACAAATGATCGCTCAATAAAGTGGCTTATCGTGTGGAAATGTATAGCAGCCAAATAATGTAAATGCATGTCGATTCAAAATGTGGAGGAATAAACCAGAGGACACGGAGAAAAATCTACGCGACCACGGGGAGAGAAAACATACAAACTCCAAATATAGAACAGGCTTCATGGTCAGAATGGAACCCACGAACTCCTGCATACCAGGCGAGGGAGTTAACATCTCGCAACTGCGGCGCGTGACAGACAAACATTGTTTGGATAACAAGTGTAGAGAGATGCACGCCAGCAATGACATCGAGAGAAACGGGAACACGACGGGCGGGGCACAGTCGCAGATCGGAGAACGTCAGATCGACTGTTGGAACATGGGATGAACTTGGGCAGGAAGCATCACTTGAGGGCCGTGGGCTGCTGGATGAGACTGGAGACAGAATGGCAGCCCAAGGAGGACTCGTGCCCCGAAGTGGAAGGCCACCGTGGACAGAGGAGCAGGGTTATCTCACGAGACCACGAGGACGCGTTCATCCAGCAGTGGATTGAACATAGCTGTTAACAGTGACGTAAAGAAGATCGTAGCAAATAGTTATTGCCTTACATTCAAACTTGAAACTACACATATGTTTTTATTCTGCTCGTTTACCCAGGAAAGTCTCATTGAGTCTCAAGACTCCTTTTCAAGAGGATCCTGCCAGCTTTTCACATTAGGGGGGAGGCACGGGGGGGGGGGGGGGGCAGCGACGTTGCTACGTGCCATCCCAATTTAGTAAATTTAGTAAATTGCATGGATCGCAGTATTGGGATGATTGTTCAATACTGGTGACATTGTGTGGTCTCCCGGGACCCCAGAGAACCCAGAGTAATATTCTTAGGTTTTTTCGGTACCGAAAAAACCTAAGAATATGAATCATTGCAGTCACGAAAGCTTCAAATCTAGAACCCAGAGTAAACCCACGTACTACGAGGGGGGGGGGGGGGGGAACGACATAAAAGTGCCACACAGAAAAGCGCCAGAGTCGGGAATCGAACCCAAGCACTTCTTGTCGTTGCGAGGTAAGAGTGTTACCACTGCGCCGGCACCCTCCCATACATTGGAGTTAAATTAACATCTTTGACCTCCAAAAATATCAGCTGGCTATTAAATACTTGACACGCCCGATTTGTCTCACTGAAATACACCCACTTTGTAGATTACTGTCGTGATTTTTTTATTCTTTCGCCGTGACAAGAGGCTTTGTAAACCAAACCAGCTTTGGGATTTGCTCTGCCGAGTCAAATGCCGCCGCTGCGCCGCGTGGAGACCTCCACTTTTCCCTGGAGGAGCTCACTCCACACAGCAGTGGAACTCCATTTCTCTTGATACAGTCACATTCACACATCGCTGTACGTTTACTCCAAAGCAAGGAAAAGATTATCCAACATCGTCTTGTCAAGCACACTGAGGAGAGGCTTGCGGATCCCCAATGTGGTTTCAGGTAAGTGCGGTCATCACAATAGTCTGGAACATTGGACGGGTTCCACAGGACTTGAAGGATGTCCTGGTTGTTCCCCTCTCTTTAAGAAGGGCGACAGCAGAGACTGTAACTGCAGGGACATCTCTTTCCTCAGTCTGCCAGGAAAAAGTTATCCAACATCGTCTTGTCAAGCACACTGAGGAGAGGCTTGCGGATCCCCAATGTGGTTTCAGGTAAGTGCGGTCCTGCACAGACACCATATTCTCTGTCCGTATGCTACAGCACAGGTGTAGGGATTTCCACTAGGACCTACATATCTACTTTATTGACCTGGTCAAGGCCTATGATACCATCAAAAGGCCACGGCTCTGGGTTGTTCTTCGTGCTTTTGGAGTCCCTGACTCTCTGCTCACAATGATTAAGGACCTTCATATGATGGTGGGCAGGTCCAGGTAAAGCTACACGGCCAAAAGTCAGAGCCATTCCCTGTTCACCTTTGGGTGCGACAGGGATTTCTGCTGGCTCCTACATCATTCAACATATTTTTCGACTACATATTTCGAAAAGCCTTCCATAACTGTACCGAAGGAATTTCCATTTAACAGACACAATGGGAAGCCGACTGATACCTGGGTGCGGTCAAGGATGGCTCCCTATTGGTTAACCATGGTATGTATGCTGGTGATTGCTGTTCACTCAGAAGAGTTGGAGGCACTACTGCTGAACCTGGAGTGTGTCACCATCAGCCCCACCAAAACTAAGCACCTGCCTGGGTATTTTGTGTCATCAAACACTCCACCCCCTCAACACCCTATTGGTGATGGAGCAGTTGTGGAGATTGGAGAGGTTTCCATACCTGGGCAGTGTCCTTATGACGAGCTCAGGTTTGACAGAGGTCTCACCCCAAATCAGTTGAATGACATTATATTTTCATGAACTGCCTAACGCTATGTGGAAGCTACCTGGTCTGTCACTCCACATGAAGCCCCAGGTCTTCTCGGCCATGGTTATGCCCTCCCTTCTCTATGCTTGCAAAACGTGGACCCCCCCCTGATGGAACATCTGTGCTAATTAGAAACATTCAGACTGGCCTGCCTACAATCTATCCTGGGTTTAACTAGGCTAGATTCTGTGAGGAACTCACCAATCCTTGAAAGATCTGGGTACCTTCCCATCGGCGAGCTCCTAAGGTAGGCAAGGCTGCATTGGCTGGGGCATGTAACCCACATGCACAGCCACCACATCCCCAAACAGCTTGTGTTTGGCTGGAATAGGGGGGGGGGGGGTTAAATGAGCGGGGCATGGGCTAGAGAAGAGATGTACTGAGGTGGTACGAGAGGGTATGGAGCCGAGTGTACTTGCCGATGACCGGCACCAGCGGTGTCAATATCAGCCTCTTTGGAGGAAGCTCATGAAGGACGCTGCTACTGGGTAGTTAGAGGCAGTCGCCCTCCAGCAACAACGGAGGGCAGAGAAGCGACGTTCACAACAATGAGCGGAGTGCTGGGCGGCTAAAACACAGCAAGTTAGCACATAGCCTGGCATCAAGCGCCGTGGTAACGTCACCGCCACTTTGTGGTGAATAGTGGCTGTTGTGTTGCTGTTTTGTATGTGTGCGTGCGTGCGTGTGTGAATGTGTGCATGTGGAAGAGAAGCTCTCTGGCTCACGAGAAGTGCAGTGTGCAGGCCGCCGTTGTCCGCGATGTTTTCCCCCAGGGTCTGCGTTCCGTTGATGCGCCTCTCCTTCCACGTGTAGTTGCTGTACTGCACCTCCATGCAGTGCGTTCGCAATTTAAACTCATTGTGCGTCGCATTCTCCCACCAGTTTTCCTGTTTGCCTTCCACGTTGTACTCGCTCCCTGCGTCGGTCACAGGGAAACATACCTGGGTCATGGTGTGGGAAGTGGCATAAGACAAAGATCCCCTGTATAGCATTAACAGACTGTTGGGTCAAGTGCTGTTAGCGAGCACCTATGAAGGCCAGCGCGATGGGTGGCCAGTACCACGCCCTGACCGCCTTTGTCTCTATCTCTCTCTCCCCCTCCCAGTGATGCGATGTTCACACATCGTACCAGGTACTCATTTTGAGGCTGATTCGACCAAGGAAAGGCCCAGGACCAATTCCGATAATCTTAACTGGTGTTAGCTGTGAGCAGGGAACAAACTGGTACGATCGGGTTCATAGCGGAGCGCACTAACCATGAGTTACATGGCACTAGCACGGATTTAGTTTGGAGGATTTTCTTTTAATAAGCAATGTTGATTAAATTGGTTCTCCTGATCCTAAATAAAAGCACCCAGTGTTAAGCCACGCGGAGTCTGCCTGAGTTTCTTAAAAGGTTGTAGGTCAAGGCTAGAATATATTCCTAAGTTTACAACGGGGCTGAGAGAAGCCATATACGAGCAGTCGTAAACAGAGTTTACCGTGGCCAGCAATCACATTCCCACGCTTATCCAGGCAATGCAAGGGGGTGACGGGGGGGTGGGGGCCCAGCGGTGGCACGGTGACCGTCGGGATTGCTGGGCCCTGCCCGTACCTAGCAGAGCGCCGGGGCCTTACCTTTGTTGTCAAATCCGTGACACAGCTCATGTACCGATGACCGTTCCAATCCCAGCGTATTTCAGGAACCTGAAGGGGAAACACGAGCACTGCGGGAGTGACAACCCATAGCCACCCTCCTGGGAGAGCCAACGTAACTCCGCACCATTCCATATTTTGTAACGCCACACATTTGTTACCGTAGTTACTAGTGCTTGTATATTTCCACGTGCAGGAAAGTGTTACAGATTATAATTTGTTATTAAGCTTGTTTACGCAGAATAGCCTCGCTGAGTTTTATGACTCGTTTTTAGGAGGGTCCTGCCAAATTCATGCAGTTGGGGACAATTATTGGTCTGTGTATTCCTATTGAGCAATTTGTGATGTAATATTTAAAATTTGGCACATCTTTAGGCCTGTGACACTGACACACAATGGCCTACTTGTGCATATGATGTCGCAGGATCTTTAATATCCACTGTGAGGCAGACGCCGCGTTAATACCACACCGCGGTATTAATGCCACGGTGGCAAATTGCTAATTCCGTCACCGGGTATGGAGGAGGTTGTGGGTTTGATCCCGACCCTGACGCCTGTATATTTAAAGTTTGCATGTTCTCCATGTGGTCGTGTGGATTTTCTTCCGGGTCCTGTTTTTTCCCCTCTACATTAACAATCAATATGCGTTTAGAGTATATCGCTGCTGTAAATTTAGACACGATGATCAGCCACTTCATTGTGAGCTCTCATTTGTGGGCCAGGTCGCTTCCTAAAGAAGGAGCTATATAGCTCAGTGGGCGTTACGTGGCGAAATCGTTTTAGTTGAATGAGGGTGGCTGCTGGATTCGAACCGTGGACCCTTTGCCCCTCCATGGAAGAAGACGTGCAGAGAATAACGACGGAGAGAGAACGTGGAGTCCCTCGCTATGCGGAACAGAGACACGAGAGCGCTGGCAATGTGCATCCAGCGGTGCCACTCAGGATGCAGGTGAACTGCTGAAGAGCGGGGCGGTGTGGGGTTTGTACTTGATCTGACCAAGGCCCCGATCCTATTGAGTAGAGTGTATCAAGGCTACTGAAAAAAAGTAAACGTAGTCAAGTAAATAGATGCGTAAGTTTTCGTGCAGTGGGTGTACTCAAGTCACAACACCTGCTTCTCTTCCTGGCGCTTCCCTCGCACTTGCCCACTCCCATCGTTGTCTCCGTTTCTCAAGCCTCCTAAACACCTGCTCCATTCAAGACACCCGTTGCACCTTTATCCACTTCTAATGTGACCGTGCCATTTTGTTGGTGTGGCCACTTGACGTTTTGAATCTCTGGACCTGTGCTCTGCAACTGGTGGTGTTAAAAACTCCGTGAAGAGGGTAAGGACAGTGTCATGGACACAAGGCAGCTATGGGTACCAGCTGCTGCTGGTCCCGTACGGGACAGGTTCTGTAATTGGTGTAAACGTAACTACCCCTATGTAACACCGTGTAACACTGTGTAACACCGTGTAACACTGTGTAACACCGTGTAACACTGTGTAACACCGTGTAACACTGTGTAACACCGTGTAACACTGTGTAACACCGTGTAACACTGTGTAACACCGTGTAACACTGTGTAACACCGTGTAACACTGTGTAACACCGTGTAACACTGTGTAACACCGTGTAACACTGTGTAACACCGTGTAACACTATGTAACACCGTGTAACACTGTGTAGCACTGTGTAACACTGTGTAGCACTGTGTAACACTGTGTAGCACTGTGTAATACCGTGTCACACTGTGTAACCCCCTTACACACGAGGCTATTGAAGATCCCAACCCGACGACGTGACCCGACCCACCGAGTGTTACCCACAATGACGACCCTTGACCGTATCCACGCTGCCCTTTAATCCCCCGAGCGGGGCCTTCCCCCCGTCCTCTGGCTACGCTCTCCTTTGGGCACCCCCCAGCAGGCTCGCTCCCCTGATTATCCGAATGACGGGATGTACCGGGGTTTCACGAGGCTCGCTCCCCTGATTACCCGAATGACGGGATGTACCGGGGTTTCACGAGGCTCGCTCCCCTCTTCTTGGTTCTTTCGGTAAAGTCACGTAGAAGGGAAGTAATATAATAATAAAAATAAAACATAATAAAACAATTCTCACGACGTTTCGGCCACAACGCAAGCAGCCGTCCTCAGGTGAAAACCAGGTCCGTCGAGGCGACAGAGTCTGAATGAAACAGCACACGAGCTTGGAGCATATATATAAGCTGGGCGCATTGACAAAGGAATTTGCATATCAAAAGGAATTTAGCATATTTATGGGAAATGCAGGAATGTGATTAGTACTGCATATGCATGTGCATTAAGCAGGATTAACAGCATCAAAGGGAGCTGCAGTTACTACTGCTGCAGCAGTTGCTGCTGCTGCTGCAGTTTCTGCTGCTGCTGCAGTTGCTGCTGCTGCTGCACTTACTGCTGCTGCTGCACTTGCTGCTGCTGCTGCAGTTGCTGCCTTATCCATTTTAATATAACACTATGTATTATTCTACCCACCCTAATGTGTATCATACTGCTATATGTTTACTGTACAATTACGACACCATACATTACTCTGCACACTGCACCATGCCAGTGAGTGGAACGCGGTCTGAAAGTCACCGTAAACGTGAACACAATCAGTTAAGATCCGAAATGGTTTATTACGTCCTTCCAATGATTGCTAAGCCAGAATCCATCTTCTCGGTTGAAATTGTCCCTGTGTTTGTATATGTGGATCGCCTCATGAACGAATCTCTCATGATAGCCAGATGGCTTGCAGAGAACCTCTGTCTTGGAGAAGTCAATGTCATGTGAGCCCACTGAATTGTAACAGTGATCTGCCACGGCTGAGGTGTTTGTCCTACCGTGTTTCAGGTCTGCCTTATGTTCACGGATGCGGTCTGAGACATGTCGTTTGGTTTCTCCAATGTAACTGCTACCACAGAGGCAACTTAGTTTGTAGACGCCAGGGTACTGTATGTCTGGAACCACATCTTTTACAGACGGGACCAGATCACGGATTTTATGTACTGTGTTGAATCGGACCTGGATCTTGTGTTTAATCAGGATTTTGGAGATCTTTTTTGTGACCCCAGCAATGTAGGGTAAGGTGATGGTCTTGAAAGGCTCCTCAACAGGATCCTTCCAAAATCCTGATTAAACACAAGATCCAGGTCCGATTCAACACAGTACATAAAATCCGTGATCTGGTCCCGTCTGTAAAAGATGTGGTTCCAGACATACAGTACCCTGGCGTCTACAAACTAAGTTGCCTCTGTGGTAGCAGTTACATTGGAGAAACCAAACGACATGTATCAGACCGCATCCGTGAACATAAGGCAGACCTGAAACACGGTAGGACAAACACCTCAGCCGTGGCAGATCACTGTTACAATTCAGTGGGCTCACATGACATTGACTTCTCCAAGACAGAGGTTCTCTGCAAGCCATCTGGCTATCATGAGAGATTCGTTCATGAGGCGATCCACATATACAAACACAGGGACAATTTCAACCGAGAAGATGGATTCTGGCTTAGCAATCATTGGAAGGACGTAATAAACCATTTCGGATCTTAACTGATTGTGTTCACGTTTACGGTGACTTTCAGACCGCGTTCCACTCACTGGCATGGTGCAGTGTGCAGAGTAATGTATGGTGTCGTAATTGTACAGTAAACATATAGCAGTATGATACACATTAGGGTGGGTAGAATAATACATAGTGTTATATTAAAATGGATAAGGCAGCAACTGCAGCAGCAGCAGCAGCAAGTGTAGCAGCAGCAGTAAGTGCAGCAGCAGCAGCAGCAGCAACTGCAGCAGCAGCAGAAACTGCTGCAGCAGCAGTAACTGCAGCTCCCTTTGATGCTGTTAATCCTGCATAATGCACATGCATATGCAGTACTAATCACATTCCTGCATTTCCCATAAATATGTTAAATTCCTTTTGATATGCAAATTCATTTGTCAATGCGCCCAGCTTATATATATGCTCCAAGCTCGTGTGCTGTTTCATTCAGACTCTGTCGCCTCGACGGACCTGGTTTTCACCTGAGGACGGCTGCTTGCGTTGTGGCCGAAACGTCGTGAGAATTGTTTTATTATGTTTTATTTTTATTATTTTATTACTTCCCTTCTACGTGACTTTACCGAAAGAACCAAGAAGATGAATCCCTGCAGTCACGAAAGCTTTAAATCGAAAAAGCTCGCTCCCCTGATTACCCGAATGACGGGATGTACCGGGGTTTCACGAGGCTCGCTCCCCTGATTACCCGAATGACGGGATGTACCGGGGTTTCACGAGGCTCGCTCCCCTGATTACCCGAATGACGGGATGTACCGGGGTTTCACGAGGCTCGCTCCCCTGATTACCCGAATGACGGGATGTACCGGGGTTTCACGAGGCTCGCTCCCTGATTACCCGAATGACGGGATGTATCGGCATCGCACATGTAAAACAATCCACTGGCCAGCAGCCTTCAACCCAGCGAACCGACCGTGTCCCGTGGCGCCACGTCACGCTCGCTCGCCAAGGCCCTGGAATCCCCACAATAGCTCTCAAGTAACTTATTTCATGGTCAATTGTGATGGGGCAAATTTCCTCTGCTGTTTTAGCTGTGTTGATAAAACCACAAATACAGAGATCCCCCTGTATAGCCTTTCGCAGACTGTTGGATCAGGTGCTGCTTGTAAGCACCTATGAAGGCCAGCACAGCACACGAGGGGGGTTGGGTGGTCAGAACCACATCTGGTTGCCTTTGTGTCCCCAGTGATGATGGGTACATACAGTACCAGGGCATTCATTTATTGCTGACATGACCTACGGGAGGCCCAGGGTCGTTTCACCGTTATTCGTCGTGAGCGGGAATCAAAGCCGGGGTCGCCGAGTTCCTAGCGCAGCATGCTAAACACTGCGCTGCCCAACGTCCCCCCACCACTGTGCGATAAACCACTCTCACGTGCACGCCCTACGCCTCGTCCCTCTTGTCCTCCGCGTACCGGCTGTGGCATTGGCATTGGGATTTCGGAGTCTCGGATATTTCCCATAATTTAAAATGGATCTGTTGTTTTCTACTGAACAAAAAAAATCCATTTAAGATTTTTCGGTCGAAAACTTCGGAGGAGGATGTCACGGACACCTCTACCGCAAACTCAAACCGGGAAATAACGGGCGTTCACAACTGCATGACAAAACTACTCGTTAGATTGAGAGTTAGCGATACTGACGTTGCTGCCAATGAGTGCTGCGAAAGTCAATTTGAGAACGCAGCAAAACGACTGCAACTTCAAACGCCACACAGACAGCCGCAGGTGCTGGTGACCTTTGGACCCAGGCAGAAACGGCCTCATTCCATCACCCGCTACGCTGACTCGGCACTCTCCACGAGCTTTGGGCAGGATGCCACAATAAAGACTGCTTTACGACGGCTTTACTGCCGTAGAGAGGGCCCAGGGTTCTGCTTTGCTGCCCGTATAGACACTCGTTCACAGCACTCACAGGGAACTCTTCACTGTGATGCAATCACTGCAATAAATGTGCTTCAATACGAGAGGCATGCTTTTGTTTGCATATAGTAAAAATGATTGAAAACTATGACTCAATAATAAAAGTCTATCAAGAGATGATAGTATATTCTCCGTGTTGGTGCAAGAGGTACTGTACACCAACCACCGTACTTGCCTCCTCTTCTATTATAACTTTGACGGTGCTGTTTGTTACTGGCTGATGGATGTTAGGGACCTGTACTCAGCAACTGCACGTGTTTCTGTTGCGTTTCCCATTGCTGAAGTCGCGTGTGTGTGTGCCTGTTCAACTCTTTCCCGTGCTGCGGTGAAGCGTTTGTATTTCCCCGTGCCAACTGTGCCAACTGGCACTGATGGATCGCCATCTCAATCACTTGACCCAAAAACTCCCGCACACCTGACCCTGGCCTCCAGCCAGAGCCTCTGACACTTCCAAGGTGACGTCAGCCAGCGGTGACATCACCTTTGTGGTGAATGGCGGCCGTCGTATTTCTGTCTCTGCGTGGCTCTGTCTGGATTTACTCCAGCCTGTTTAATTGTGCCCTTGTGTTTCTTACCTTCCTCTATGTGTGACTTGTTTATGTCTGTTTCTCGCTCTATGATTCACTTCTCCACGTCTATGTTTAACTGCGATGCCTCTCTCCGTGGCGTTTACCCTCCGTGCATTTAAACCTCCGTGCGTTTAGCCTCTGTGTACATCGCCACTGCTCGGGTTTCTGGGACGACGTCAACGTGCGTTGCTTTCCATTAATGTACACATTTTTCTATTTCCTCACTGATCTTCTCCGTCTGATCCTCGACGGCATCTCTCGTACCCCTCTCTATGCCGAGCTTCTCTTCATCTTCACGTTAAATCTCACACTCATCGCCGTCATCAGGAGCCATGACCAAACTACCTGCGATGTTGCGGTGCCTCAAATCGTCTCGCTGTGCAGATGAGCTACTCTCCTCGCTCCACCTGCGTGGTGGTTATCTTCTTGAGCTCGTTCCCTCGTGTTGTTGCTATTCTGTCACCAGTCTCGTCCATCGACCATCAACTTTCATTGCCATCTATGACAGATGCCGGCTAACGGAGCACTCCGGATGGTTAAGTGCCAGATAACAGAGCTTTTCCCTCTTGTTATTAACAGTCTGTACAACAACGCTTCACGATTTTTTTTCCATTGAGGGTTCATTCCACAATGAACATTTTCACTTCTCTTGGGCGGTGACGCTGCCCAGTGGTGGGTAGCGTGTTTGCCGCTTGTTATAGACGTTCACGGTTCGAATCCAGTGGCCACCCCGGTCAACATTGCGGTGTGTGTTGACCGTAACAATGCAACGCGCCGTCTGCTTTATGGTGGACGTTAAAGATCCCGCTACATCATTCGCAAGAGTAGGTCATTTGTGTGCCCGCGTTCAGGTCTAAATTTGGTACATTTGAAAATCACCCTGCAAATTACTCAATTGAGATGACACACGATTAAAAACGATTAAACTAAAACTATCTAAAAAATATTTTAGAAGGTAAGGCCCACTGAACTATAGAGAGCTCTTTTTCAGAAGCGACCTGGCCACAACAAAGTGGCTTACCACCTTGTGGGAATCTATAGCAGCTAAATACTCTAAACGCATGTTTCTAAACATCAAGGGACCCGGATAAAAATCCATGCAACCAGCAGGTACAACATGCAAAATCCAAATATACAGGTGTCAGGTCAGGATAGGGATCAAACCCACGACCTCCTGTATACCAGGTGAGGTGGTTAACATCTCACCACCATGGCACACAGCAGCAATCATCGCCCCCACTGGCAGACTGATGCCCCAAGTCACTGTTACAAACGAGACTCATTCATCCTGGTCTCTTGAGATCCCACCTCGTTACACTCAAAGCTCTCTAGACTTCGTTTAATGGACAGCAGTGGACGTGCAATAGCGGCCGTACGTGGGGTAGACATCTTGGTAAAAGGGCTCCTGCATGATGCCGGCTGGAATGTACATCGTGTTGAGGCTCTCGTAGTAGTAGAAGGCATCCACGGTCTGCGGTGGGGCCCTGTGTGAGACAAACACAGCCATCAGCAAAGCGACCTCACGAGACACCCGCTAACTAATAGGGGTTTTCCACTTTTTTCTGGCAACAAAACTGACACCTTTTACAAGGAATCATGTTTACATTAACCACAATACTTGCAGTCAAAATGCAAACAAAAAACAATACTCTGAAAATTTATGAATTGTCCTTGAAACTCATTGGTCCACACCAGAGACAGCTTTCCTTAGAGCCTAGTCTCATATGGTGTTCGACCAGATGATGCCAAAAGTTTCAAGGACAATGCATAAATTATCAAAGTATTGTGTTTTGTTTGCATTTTGACTTCAAGTATTGTGGTTAATGTAAACATGATTCCTTGTAAAAGGTGTCAGTTTTGTTGCCAGAAAAAAGGGGAAAAACCCTATTAGTATATTTTGGTACTGGCAAAGGAGGCCTCATGATGAGACAGCCGCTGCTTGGCGGCTTTCCTCGCGGCCATTTCCCAAATTGTTGTTCCCGAGCGAGAGAGAGGAGGACGTACGCCCATTGTGGCTCGATTATGTTGCAGGCCAGGACTCCTACGTTTCCATTTCAACCCCCCCCGGCAATACACGCGACGCGATTCGCAGCTACGTCTCTGCCATTACCCCCTGGCGGGGTAGTGGCAGGTCGTTAAACCCTTCTCACATTCCACAGCTGTGGAACTGCGCAACGAAACATTCGTACTGAATTAGTTGGCATGGAATTGAAAACCAGGATATCTGCTTTCATGCAAGCATTGTTGGTTCCGTTTTAGTTTGGATCCCAAAATATTGGACGAGCCCATTTTTTTATAATTCACATGATTCTGATCTTACGTCACCACAACTAAACACACACATATTCTGAAAGATTGAGGACAAGAGGGATGCTAATGGCAGGTTTAAATGAAAACAACATTTGCAACATCTTATGAGATTAAGAAAATTGTGTGCGGTAAGGCAGTCTGCCGCCAAACGTAAGCCGACATTAGTTTATATAAATGCTTCTGAATTATTCATGACTTTTTTTTCCACCAAAATTAAGAGCAGAATGTAACTTTTTAACAAAACGTGGCCGTGTGTCGATGTTGAATTCAGTCATGGATAATCCCGAGCCACCGGTGAGAAGCAGCTTTGTCGGTCAGAATGTGATCAACGTGTTGGCAACGTGCGAACAAGACATCTGTGTCAACGTGACGATCTTGTCGGGCGGTGGAGAGTTGATGACAAGAATGATGGCATTAAACTACCACCACGTGGCCAAACCCAAGCACCAATACTGATCATTAAAATGCCATCTTTCACATTTTTAGACATAAAACTCAAGATATTGATAATTAAAGCCCTGTTGAGAATGTTAATAGTACTTTTATTACCCATCTGTAATGCTTATCCAAATGTAATGCTTTGAAACATGTTACTAAAACACATTTAATATTCTGTTGTTTAGATTTGTGAGTGTCTCACAGTTGCTCAGCACAGGCACCAAGGCCAGCAATGTACAGCACCATAATAAACCTTGACTTAAAGCTTGCGTGACTCGCAGGAATTCATACTCTTTGGGTCTTTCGGTAAAGTCACGTAGATAGGTTCAAAGAAAATAACAAAAAACTACGACATTTCCATCGCAACACAAGTGGTCATCTTCAGGAAAAGGGGGGTTAGCTTCCAAAGGCAAACTGTTTATAATGGTTTGAAATGGGCATAGCCCAAATGTCAGTAGCCAATGACAATGCGAGTGGTGGGCAGCCAACCCGATGGTGGTCGGTTCACCATGTTAATGGCAAATAGTCAGGAATGTGAGCGACTCGATCAAATGAGGCTGCTTGTCTCATCTGGGTGAGTGTGTAGTTGTGACCTGCGGTGTGGTGGGTGGATAGGTGGGTGGGTGGGTGTGTAGTTGTGACCTGCGGTGTGGTGGGTGGATAGGTGGGTGGGTGGGTGTGTAGTTGTGACCTGCGGTGTGGTGGGTGGATAGGTGGGTGGGTGGGTGTGTAGTTGTGACCTGCAGTGTGGTGGGTGGATAGGTGGGTGGGTGGGTGTGTAGTTGTGACCTGCGGTGTGGTGGGTGGATAGGTGGGTGGGTGGGTGTGTAGTTGTGACCTGCGGTGTGGTGGGTGGATAGGTGGGTGAGTGGGTGGGTGGGTGGGTGTGTAGTTGTGACCTGCAGTGTGGTGGGTGGGTGGTTGGGAGAGTGTGTTGTTGTGACCTGCAGTGTGGTGAGTGGGTGGGTGAGTGGGTGGGTGGGTGGGTGAGTGTGTTGTTGTGACCTGCAGTGTGGTGAGTGGGTGGGTGAGTGTGTTGTTGTGACCTGCAGTGTGGTGAGTGGGTGGGTGGGTGGGCGAGTGAGTGGGTGGGTGGGTGAGTGTGTAGTTGTGACCTGCAGTGTGGTGAGTGGGTGGGTGGGTGAGTGAGTGGGTGGGTGGGTGAGTGTGTAGTTGTGACCTGCAGTGTGGTGAGTGGGTGGGTGGGTGGGTGAGTGAGTGGGTGGGTGGGTGAGTGTGTAGTTGTGACCTGCAGTGTGGTGAGTGGGTGGGTGGGTGGGTGAGTGAGTGGGTGGGTGAGTGTGTAGTTGTGACCTGCGGTGTGGTGGGTGGATAGGTGAGTGGGTGGGTGGGTGTGTTGTTGTGACTTGCGGTGTGGTGAGTGGGTGGGTGGGTGAGTGTGTTGTTGTGACCTGCGGTGTGGTGAGTGGGTGGGTGGGTGGGTGAGTGTGTTGTTGTGACCTGCAGTGTGGTGAGTGGGTGGGTGAGTTGGTGGGTGGGTGAGTGGGTGGGTGGGTGGGTGAGTGTGTTGTTGTGACCTGCGGTGTGGTGAGTGGGTGGTTGGGAGAGTGGGTGGGTGGGTGGGTGTGTAGTGATGAGGACGCGACTCACCACCGGTGAGCAAGTGACTCGAGTGAACCAGTGAGTTCACTCCTCAATAACACAAGTAGCTACCATCTTAAGTGCACCAAAACATATTTTAGTCATGCATATGCAGAACATTAAGAATAATTGTCAAAATCTGTACATACCTCCATTTCATCTTGCCGGTCCACATGGTTCGTATGGTCCTTATGGATGTGTAATTGTAGAAATTGACCATGGTTTCAAAGAATCTGCCTTCAACAACCTTGAACTGTTTTCAGAAAGGAAACACGCGCACTGTGCATCAGCGCCGGCAGCGGTGAGTGGCATTTAGGTGGCCCAGTGGCAGCGCCTTCACCGCTCGTTGCAGAGGTTCACGGTTGGAGCCCGGCGGTTGTCCTGGTTATTGCTGTGGTGTGGCGTTGACCCTGAAAATACTACGCACCATCTTCTTCACCCACAGTGGATGGTTAAGATCCCGTGAAGTATTTCACTCACAGTAGACAGTTAAGATCCCGTGACGTTATTCACTCACAGTAGACAGTTAAGATCCCGTGATGTCATTCCCAAGAGCAAGCCCTCGTGTGTGGTGGTCACGGCTCAAACTTTGCAATGTTTGAAAAATGACGGCCGCAAATTGCTCTATTAGGACACTCAGCAACCATCGTCCTCCTGCTGCGACAACTTGGCTGGGCCCTCCTGAAAACGAGTCATGAGACCCATTGAGGCTTTCATTGGGTAAAACGAGCATGATGATGATGGTGGCCATCATAATTAAAATGAAGAGGGGACAGTTTTCCTGTGCGAGAACGACTCAGGGAGCGCACAAGCTGTGGAGTCGCGGGAAGATGAGGTTTCCTGCACCCCAGTGCAATGAGCAGGGGTTGCACACACAATGTTTTAGTGGTAGGTAGACCGCATGACAAAAACCCACAACAACTCGAAGGTTTAACGTGCACAAACAAATCGTTAATCGTGAAAAGCTAAAACGCATTGGCAGTGAAACCTATTGAAGATGAACTGTAGGGGAGCTAACGTTAATCATCAAAATGTAATAATGTTTAATTATTACATTCTGATGACATTTAGAAGCCAAGTACATCTAATAATAAACTAAAGAATTACAATTTGACAGTTACAATAGAATAATGCAAAAGCATCGCGAGAGTACAGTTTAAGTCACCATCACTGTCAGGTAGAGGGAGAAGGCCGAAGCTAAATCGATTTTGTGACAGGCCTCCAAAATGATTCCCTTTGTAAAGTAACTGCCAAGCGGCCTGACTCTCACCTGTTTGACTATAGCGCGTGACCAGGGCACGTGACCAGGGTGCATGACCACGGCTCGTGACCACGGATCGTGACTACGGCTCGTAACTACGGATCGTGACCACGGCTCGTGACCACAGCTCGTGACCACGGTTGTGTGACCATGGATCGTGACCATGGATCGTGACCACGGATCGTGACCATGGATCGTGACCACGGCTCGTGACCACGGATCGTGACCACGGCTCGTGACCACGGATCGTGACCACGGTTGTGTGACCACGGATCGTGACCACGGCTCGTGACCACGGATCGTGACCACGGCTCGTGACCACGGTTGTGTGACCATGGATCGTGACCACGGATCGTGACCACGGTTGTGTGACCACGGATCGTGACCACGGTTGTGTGACCACGGCGCGTGACCACGGCTCGTGACCACGGATGTGTGACCACGGCGCGTGACCACGGCTCGTGACCACGGCTCGTGACCACGGTTGTGTGACCACGGCGCGTGACCACGGCTCGTGACTACGGCTCGTGACCACAGCTCGTGACCACGGCTCGTGACCACGGTTGTGTGACCACGGATCGTGACCACGGCTCGTGACCACAGCTCGTGACCACAGCTCGTGACCAAGGTTGTGTGACCACGGATGTGTGACCACGGCGCGTGACCACGGCTCGTGACCACAGCTCGTGACCACGGTTGTGTGACCACGGCGCGTGACCACGGCTCGTGACCACGGTTGTGTGACCACGGATCGTGACTATGGCTGCATGACCACGGCGCGTGACCACGGCTCGTGACCACGGTTGTGTGACCACGGATCGTGACTATGGCTCGTGACCACGGCTCGTGACCACGGCTCGTGACCACGGTTGTGTGACCACGGCGTGTGACCATGGTTGTGTGACCAGGGCTCGTGACTACGGTTGTGTGACCACGGATCGTGACCACGGCGCGTGACCACGGATCGTGACCACGGTTGTGTGACCACGGCGCGTGACCACGGATCGTGACTACGGCTGTGTGACCACAGCGCGTGGCCACGGCTCGTGACTACGGTTGTGTGACCATGGATCGTGACTACGGCTGTGTGACCACGGATCGTGACCACGGCTCGTGACCACGGTTGTGTGACCACGGATCGTGACCACGGCTCGTGACCACGGTTGTGTGACCACGGATCGTGACTACGGCTGTGTGACCACAGCGCGTGGCCACGGCTCGTGACTACGGTTGTGTGACCATGGATCGTGACTACGGCTGTGTGACCACGGATCGTGACCACGGCTCGTGACCACGGTTGTGTGACCACGGATCGTGACCACGGCTCGTGACCACGGTTGTGTGACCATGGATCGTGACTACGGCTGTGTGACCACGGATCGTGACCACGGCTCGTGACCACGGTTGTGTGACCACGGATCGTGACCACGGCTCGTGACCACGGTTGTGTGACCACGGCTCGTGACCACGGTTGTGTGACCACGGCGCGTGACCACGGTTGTGTGACCACGGATCGTGACCACGGCTCGTGACCACGGTTGTGTGACCACGGCGCGTGACCACGGTTGTGTGACCACGGCGCGTGACCACGGCTGTGTGACCACGGCGCGTGACTACGGTTGTGTGACCACGGTTGTGTGACCACGGCGCGTGACTACGGTTGTGTGACCACGGCGCGTGACTACGGTTGTGTGACCACGGTTGTGTGACCACGGCGCGTGACTACGGTTGTGTGACCACGGCGCGTGACTACGGTTGTGTGACCACGGTTGTGTGACCACGGCTCGTGACTATGGTTGTGTGACCACGGCTCGTGACTACGGTTTTGTGACCACGGCGCGTGACCACAGCTGGGTAGTCCTCGCGCACCCAGCTTCATCAGTGTACAAACGGCACAACAACCGGAGCCCGGAGTTATTGATTTATTTACGCATTTGCTTATTTATTTAGCAAAGCCTTCTGGCTTACCCTAACTTCTGGCTAACTCGAGTCTGGCTTTGAGAGGTTTTACTGGACTATAGAATAAATGACTTTCAAAGCAATCAATAGTACGATGTGAAGATCACAACTGCCAGGAGCTTCCCCCATACGCACATCTTGGTAGATATCATCCACATTCGAGACATCTTCCATGTAGTCATCCTCACCAACCGCAGACTGGATGTTTTTTGCCTGAAACAAAGCGGACGCATGCAAAATGCATTGATATCATTCCACTCTTTGGTGGTGGTGGTGGTGGCAAGCCACGTCTACAGAACAACGTTTATTCTGGGCTGTTCACCTTGAACGTTTAGCCACTTAAACAAATTTGAAGGCGAACATTTTAGAGCAATTTGAAATGTGGTTTTCTTCAGGGCCAATTAGCACAATTGGCTACGTACAATGTGAAATAAGTTCAGCATACATACGTACAATGTAATTGCTGTTGAACAGACCAGAGTAGTTTAACAAACTTCATAATGTAGGAGTCACTGCTACGAATCAAGGAATTTGATTGGATAACATTGGTGACCATGGCAATGTGTTGGATATGTTTCCACAGCACGTAAAAAGACAATTGTTCAGAACGTTTCTTGCTAAAAGTGCCCAACGTACACTGGAACTACCAACACAGCTCCATTGACATTGTGCCGGACCTTGGAGAGTGTGAACGGGCAATCGACTCGGTGTACATGGTCATCCAAGCTCTTACAGAGCAATGCCTAAATGAAACACGCAGAAACGGCAACACCGTCCCCAAGAATGATCACACCAAGTTTACTCAAAGTAGTGGGATACGTATAAACAAGGGGAGTCGGACCGGGCGGTGCGTCTCCATGACACTTTTCAAGGTGAAATTAGAAGACGTTTTCTGACAGTGGGATTGGAAAAAGGAAGGAGGAACTCGAGAATGAAACGTAACAAGCCAGTGTGGCCGGGAGGAGAACGAGTTTAGTAGCTCGCTGCGACCTCCGGCTTCGAGACAACGGCCACGGCTGACGGCGAGCGACGTCACACGCCGTCGTTTTAACACGGGTGCCGCGTTTAGCGTCACGACTCAAAGCGCACCCTGCTACGACATCTACGCCCGTTGCAACGGCGAGTGGGGCCGCATTATTCGCAGTGTGGTCACGTCGCTCATAGCCACGCAAAGAGAGAAAGAGAGCTACTCGTAGGCGTTAGACAAGCTCTTTGCCGAACTCTCCGAGACTCACAGATAACGCACGGAATCGCCACTCCACTGCCGCCTGGGGGTAGTGGGGGAGTTGCGTCGTCCAAGCTCCGACACAAACACCGAGGATCACACAAACTACCTTCTCCTTCGCGGCAAGCCGAGTCTTGTTGTCCATCCAGGGTAGGTGATCCAGATTATCTTTAAAGGCGTCCTTCATATTCTTGATCATGTTCTTCACCTAAGCCACGCAAGACACCGTATATTAAATGGTACAAAATACAAACGTCCATAGCAGAGATGGTACCGACGTCTCTCTTAGACAAAGATGATTAATTGGACTGTTGGGAGGTCATTACCTTTACCTTAAATCAAAAATGCACATTTCGAGTTGAAGCTTCTTTCGTGACTGCAGGGATTCATCTTCTTGGTTCTTTCGGTAAAGTCACGTAGAAGGGAAATAATAAAAATAAATTATTTAATTATGTTTTATTTTTACTATTTTCATTCTACGTGACTTTACCGAAAGAACCAAGAAGACAAAAATGAACAATCATACGTTTCAAAGGCTTTCGGGATATAGTCTACGTTTTGTATTAAACTTTTCAGAAACGTTTATTGACAACTTATAAAGTTACTCCTTATGAATAAATGTTCAATTAACATTTAAATTATATGTCAAAGGCCAGGGAGATAACGTGGATTCTATTCAACGTGCGGGGAGAATTGTGATGAACATTGCACCTGATGATGATGATGATGAGTCATCTCAACTTTTTATACGGCGCCAGCGCTGCACAGGAGTCGCTCGCTCTCAACGGGAGAGGGCAACAGCAGCAGCCACGCAGTGAGGAGCCGATGTTACCAACAAGTGCCCAAGCTCTGCGGTCCCCTTCGTACGAACGTGTTTTCAGCCAATTAATGAGTGTCTACGTGTGGGAGGAAACCAAATCACCCAGAGATAACCCACGCGTGCTCGGAAACAACACAGATGTGGACAGAGATTAGTTGACACTTGCTGTCCCAGGTGTTCCTGGAACAGCCAGGGTACAGCACCTACTCGATTCACAAACATTTGTGCAATGGTCCACCAGCCCTCTCTACCTCCAGCGCTGGGTTACAGGCCACGTGCAGAGCCACCACCTTGGAGCTCACATGAGCTTTAGTTTTTTTCACGGGAATGTATTTAAACCATCTGATCATTTAATGTATTAATGTATAGCCTCACTGCTCGCGTGCGGTTGTGAGGTCTGTACATGTGGCTGTGTCAGTGTTCAGGGCAGGATTGTTCTCCGATAATGATTCGTGAATGTTTTACACGTTTGCGTCACAATTATACCTTGCCACCATGTCACGGTTTACTGCTGGTGTAAAAAATAGCTCAATTCACCTGCTCATATAAACTGACATGTGTTTTACAGCTATAATTGTAAACTAAAGTAAACTATGTTTTACTTTACCAGGTAAGGCCCAGTTAGCGGTGTAGCTCTTTTGTCAGAAGCGACCTGCTCACAAATGATAGCTCAACGAAGTCATGTGGAAATGTATAGCAGCCAAATACTATGAAGACACGTTGATTCTAAATGTGGAAGGAAAAACCAAAGGACCCAGAGAAAAATCCATGCGACCACAGGGAGAACATGCAAATTCCAAATATAAAGGCATCAGGGTCGGGATCGAACCCACGACCTCCTCCATACCCTATGCCCTTGTATGTTTACATACGAGTACAATCATCACTATTAATACATCGATGTTTCTGTAACATGATTTTCATTTTGCTATGAATAGCGATTAAAAGTAATTTGTCCAAGACAACTTTTTACAGGATAAAAAAAAAATACATGTAATTTATCATTGTGTTTGCACTGTTTTGGATTTACAATATTTTGAATAGAAAGTTGTTTTTGCCCTGATTCGTCTTTGCTTGATTGCTGCATTTTATATTTTATCCATTTCGTTTTTGTAATTTTGGTGTCCCAGGTTGCGCTTGCAAATGGAACTCCTTTCCTGTTCTCTTGAGTTCCTATCTGGCTCAACAAAAATCTACTTGAGAGGCGACATGCAAAGCTGGAGACTGAATCTGGGAGTAACACAGTTGCAGAAAATGCCAAAGATAAGGCAAAGTCACTGCAAGTCTACTTATCGGATGACCACGTCCTTTGAACAAATAATCGCTCTGGAATCTTTGGAGACGTATTTTAACAGGACCTGTATCCATGCCATATTTAACATTGCTGCAAATGTATGATCAAGCAAGGAAAACGCAAGCACACGATTTGCTCCGTGCAACAATGGTGGCAGAGGGCTCGATCATTGAGAAAGTCTAAAGTTAAAATTTTAAACAAATTCGACTGAAAAATAAGAGTAAGCTCCTTCAACCACAACTGAATTTTCTCACAGCGCTATGACATCCTTCCTACATGTGCCGTAGTTCCAATGTTACGACATCCGGAGTATGGCACGCGCTGGAGTTAAGAATGGAACTGCAATTGACGATGGGAGATCTGAACCGCAGAACAAAAGGAGAGCACTTACATCATCTTTTCTTTTCGCCGTGATTTCTTTCATCGCAAAAATCTCCCCCAGGGCGTAGGCCAAAGACTTGTCTGCCAGATCCATGCAGAACTCCCAGCGGCGCACAGGCTGACAACATCACAATCATCGCACCAAAGCGTCACCCAGCATTTCCAGCCAAATGTGTCTTGAGTCGTTGTCATGCGCGACCATCATTGTGCCAAACATTGCACGTTCGGAGAGTTTAATTGGAAGGGTTGCTCAGTCCATGCTCACTGATTGCAGCCCACGAGACAAGAATCAATCCCCAGGATCTACATAACATTCATCGCGTCTGGTGCAGCACGCAGCATTACCGCGGCTTCATTACAGATCCTAAATGTATGTAAGTATGTTGAACTTCTTTCGCACGTACGGAGCCAACCGTGCTAATCGCAGGTGTGAGAAATGTTTAACGATTGCTGTTCCCTCCTCCACATGAAAACCCTAAAGTAAAACCTATCTCGGTCTACAATCCTATGGCTATCGCCCAGCTTCTCAGTAATATTCTGGATGGCTGCATCTCATCGTCAGAGACTGAATACTTGAACCCATCAGATGGCTCAGCGGCAGAGCGAGCGGCTCACAATCGGGAGGTTGCGAGCTCAAATCCTGTTTGGGAGTTGACTCGGCCCATCATCCTTATGGGGCCAGTAAAATAGCTACCACGTTGTGGGAAAGTCAACAGTGGTTGTCCTGTGAATGGACTTGCACCTTTTATAGGAATGCACAATTTCCACCACTGGCTCAGGGCTGTAAAAACAGGAGATGAGTACTGCCTCCATGCTCACGCTGAGCAGGGAGTCACGTTGCCTCGTCACTCCGCTAGATAAAGGGCCACGCTCATCGTAATTCTCTACCGTCCTCACGATCCAACAAATTGATTACTTTATTTCTCATCTCTGCTCGTGTCAATCAAACACTTTCCTCAACGAGTCTTCAATTGGAGGGACGCCACAATTGCTGTACACGTGGAGGGCGAACGAGCATTAAACATGAAGTCTTAAACACTGTCTAACTTTGGGTCGCCACCTTATTCACAGAACAAACCCAGACACAGTTCTAAGTTAGCCGAGCTCGAACTTTGCAGTAAACTGTGAAGTTGAACGCGATGCTATCAGATCTCGGTACAATCAATTCCTGCCACCCGAACACAGGCGCCAATTTCCCGGCTTGTCTGGGTCCAACCGTGGCAGGTGTCCACCCGAACACGTCCAAACGTGTTTTGTCTTCACTCACCTCCGTGGTCTCATCAATCGCTTCGGCCATGATGAGGGCGGCCTTCCTAAATCTGTAATCCAAGCTGGGGATCATCTTCTGGATGAGCATCCACAGCGCGTAGTTGGTCAATGTTCTGTCACCATGGAGAATTCGAGAACATTAATAACGACATGCACCAACCACGACCATCTCCAGGGGCAGCAAGTGACATTAAACGCTACAGCTGTCGGTTTAACGGCGTTAACTTGCGGAAATGTAATTGGTGCATGGCACAAGAACCACACGTAGTGAAGAGATGAGTGAAGCACCGACATTCTGTAAAACATCACGGCCTCTTCCACTGCTCTCTCAGCTCCTCCCCCCGGACCCCTCCACTTTGGAATTCCCTCCCTCCCGTGTTACACTCTTGCTATTAAAACATTGATTCGTGCCACTTGTGGCTGGCCGCTGAGCGTTTCGTCAATTTGACATGTGCTCAGCAACTGCGATGTACAAGTTTACATGTCATCAGAGGGTGGTCCCCTTCTGCTGTCCATCAAAAGCACGAAGGCACCACGGTCCCTGGTGCCCCCTGCAGGTTCTGTCCGGCAGTGACATCGACAACGCTTTTCTGGACAGTAGCAGCATCAGGCCGATCCGACTCGCAAACACACATTGCAGATGCGTGCGCCGCGCGTGGCAACGTGTATTGCGCGTGGGGAACGGTGGCGTCGCGGTTAGCGCGCTGCGCTACAAACCCGGCGACCCGAGTTCGATTCCCGCTAACGCCCAACACCAGTGACGATTATCTGAACCGGTCCTGGGCCTCCCCTAGGTCATCTCTGCCTTTGTTTTGTTGGCCGGACTGATGGTGGCCAGAATGGTGCCTGACACGTGGGGGCCTGTTGCAGAGCCAGCAGATGGCTGCACAACCATGGATTGCGCAATCAATCCACGAGCTGTTGAAAACCCGCTCATCGCGAAGATTATCACCGCGTACAAATGCCGTGTCTCGTGACCTTTAAACAAGCTGGGTTGTGACAATAACTGTACCAAACACAAGCGCGTGCAAACAGTAACTCCTGCAACGTGGCATACGGTTAACTTACTTGGGGTCAGATTTTTTCACGTAATCGGACAGTTTCTGGAAGTAGGGAATCGAGTCAATGATGAGGGGCTGGTTTTCGTACGTCCCATTAGAGAACAGTCCACTCAGGTACAGGGTCCAGTTGAGGAAGGGAAACTCCTTCTGCAGGAACGGAAACGCGCGGCGTCACAACGAGCCCACCCTGCCGCCATGCGGCCACAAACCGTGCCTTGGACACTCCGCGGACTCGTGGCTTTCACTCACTCCGCGTGCCTCTCACTCACTCCACGTGCCTCTCACTCACTCCACGTGCCTCTCACCCACTCCCCGTGCCTCTCACTCACTCCGCGTGCCTCTCACTCACTCCGCGTGCCTCTCACTCACTACGCGTGCCTCTCACTCACTCCACGTGCCTCTCACTCCACGTGCCTCTCACCCACTCCACGTGCCTCTCACTCACTCCACGTGCCTCTCACTCACTCCACGTGCCTCTCACCCACTCCACGTGCCTCTCACTCCACGTACCTCTCACCCACTCCACGTGCCTCTCACTCACTCCCCGTGGCTCTCACTCACTCCACGTGCCTCTCACTCACTCCGCGTGCCTCTCACTCACTCCCCGTGCCTCTCACTCACTCCCCGTGCCTCTCACTCACTCCGCGTGCCTCTCACTCACTCCGCGTGCCTCTCACTCACTCCGCGTGCCTCTCACTCACTCCACGTGCCTCTCACTCCACGTGCCTCTCACCCACTCCACGTGCCTCTCACTCACTCCACGTGCCTCTCACTCACTCCACGTGCCTCTCACCCACTCCACGTGCCTCTCACTCCACGTACCTCTCACCCACTCCACGTGCCTCTCACCCACTCCACGTGCCTCTCACTCCACGTGCCTCTCACCCGCTCCCCGTGCCTCTCACTCACTCCCCGTGCCTCTCACTCACTCCCCGTGCCTCTCACTCACTCCCCGTGCCTCTCACTCACTCCACGTGCCTCTCACTCACTCCCCGTGCCTCTCACTCACTCCCCGTGCCTCTCACTCACTCCACGTGCCTCTCACCCACTCCCCGTGCCTCTCACCCACTCCACGTGCCTCTCACTCACTCCACGTGCCTCTCACTCACTCCACGTGCCTCTCACTCACTCCACGTGCCTCTCACCCACTCCACGTGCCTCTCACTCACTCCACGTGCCTCTCACCCACTCCACGTGCCTCTCACTCACTCCACGTGCCTCTCACCCGCTCCGCGTGCCTCTCACTCACTCCACGTGCCTCTCACTCACTCCACGTGCCTCTCACTCACTCCACGTGCCTCTCACTCACTCCACGTGTCTCTCACCCACTCCACGTGCCTCTCACCCGCTCCGCGTGCCTCTCACCCACTCCACGTGCCTCTCACTCACTCCACGTGCCTCTCACTCACTCCACGTGCCTCTCACCCACTCCCCGTGCCTCTCACTCACTCCACGTGCCTCTCACCCACTCCACGTGTCTCTCACTCACTCCACGTGTCTCTCACCCACTCCCCGTGCCTCTCACCCACTCCACGTGCCTCTCACTCACTCCACGTGCCTCTCACTCACTCCACGTGCCTCTCACTCACTCCACGTGTCTCTCACTCACTCCACGTGCCTCTCACTCCCCGTGCCTCTCACTCACTCCACGTGCCTCTCACTCACTCCACGTGCCTCTCACCCACTCCCCGTGCCTCTCACCCACTCCCCGTGCCTCTCACTCACTCCACGTGCCTCTCACCCGCCCCGTGGCCTCTCACCCACTCCACGTGCCTCTCACCCTCACTCCACGTGCCTCTCACTCACTCCACGTGCCTCTCACTCACTCCACGTGCCTCTCACTCACTCCACGTGCCTCTCACTCACTCCACGTGTCTCTCACTCACTCCACGTGTCTCTCACTCACTCCACGTGTCTCTCACCCACTCCACGTGTCTCTCACTCACTCCACGTGCCTCTCACTCACTCCACGTGCCTCTCACTCACTCCACGTGCCTCTCACCCACTCCACGTGCCTCTCACTCACTCCACGTGCCTCTCACCCACTCCACGTGCCTCTCACTCACTCCACGTGCCTCTCACCCACTCCACGTGCCTCTCACTCACTCCGCGTGCCTCTCACTCACTCCACGTGCCTCTCACTCACTTCCACGTGCCTCTCACTCACTCCGCGTGCCTCTCACTCACTCCCCGTGCCTCTCACTCACTCCACGTGCCTCTCACTCACTCCCCGTGCCTCTCACTCACTGCCCCGTGCCTCTCACCCACCCCACGTGCCTCTCACTCACTCCACGTGCCTCTCACTCACTCCCCGTGCCTCTCACCCACTCCACGTGCCTCTCACTCACTCCACGTGCCTCTCACTCACTCCCCGTGCCTCTCACTCACTCCACGTGCCTCTCACTCACTCCACGTGCCTCTCACTCACTCCGCGTGCCTCTCACTCACTCCACGTGCCTCTCACCCACCCCACGTGGGTCTCACTCACGCCCCGTGCCTCTCACCCACCCCACGTGCCTCTCACCCACTCCACGTGCCTCTCACTCACTCCACGTGCCTCTCACCCACTCCCCGTGCCTCTCACTCACTCCACGTGCCTCTCACCCACTCCACGTGTCTCTCACTCACTCCCCGTGTCTCTCACCCACTCCCCGTGCCTCTCACCCACTCCACGTGCCTCTCACTCACTCCACGTGCCTCTCACTCACTCCACGTGCCTCTCACTCACTCCACGTGTCTCTCACTCACTCCACGTGCCTCTCACTCCCCGTGCCTCTCACTCACTCCACGTGCCTCTCACTCACTCCACGTGCCTCTCACCCACTCCCCGTGCCTCTCACCCACTCCCCGTGCCTCTCACTCACTCCACGTGCCTCTCACCCGCTCCCCGTGCCTCTCACCCACTCCACGTGTCTCTCACTCACTTCACGTGCCTCTCACTCACTCCACGTGCCTCTCACTCACTCCACGTGCCTCTCACTCACTCCACGTGCCTCTCACTCACTCCACGTGCCTCTCACTCACTCCACGTGTCTCTCACCCACTCCACGTGTCTCTCACTCACTCCACGTGCCTCTCACTCACTCCACGTGCCTCTCACTCACTCCACGTGCCTCTCACCCACTCCACGTGCCTCTCACTCACTCCACGTGCCTCTCACCCACTCCACGTGCCTCTCACTCACTCCACGTGCCTCTCACCCACTCCACGTGCCTCTCACTCACTCCGCGTGCCTCTCACTCACTCCACGTGCCTCTCACTCACTCCACGTGCCTCTCACTCACTCCGCGTGCCTCTCACTCACTCCCCGTGCCTCTCACTCACTCCACGTGCCTCTCACTCACTCCCCGTGCCTCTCACTCACGCCCCGTGCCTCTCACCCACCCCACGTGCCTCTCACTCACTCCACGTGCCTCTCACTCACTCCCCGTGCCTCTCACCCACTCCACGTGCCTCTCACTCACTCCACGTGCCTCTCACTCACTCCCCGTGCCTATCACTCACTCCACGTGCCTCTCACTCACTCCACGTGCCTCTCACTCACTCCGCGTGCCTCTCACTCACTCCACGTGCCTCTCACCCACCCCACGTGGGTCTCACTCACGCCCCGTGCCTCTCACCCACCCCACGTGCCTCTCACCCACTCCCCGTGCCTCTCACTCACTCCCCGTGCCTCTCACTCACTCCACGTGCCTCTCACTCACTCCGCGTGCCTCTCACTCACTCCACGTGCCTCTCACCCACTCCCCGTGACTCTCACTCACTCCACGTGCCTCTCACTCACTCCACGTGCCTCTCACCCACTCCACGTGCCTCTCACTCACTCCACGTGCCTCTCACTCACTCCACGTGCCTCTCACTCACTCCCCGTGCCTCTCACTCACTCCCCGTGCCTCTCACTCACGCCCCGTGCCTCTCACCCACCCCACGTGCCTCTCACTCACTCCCACGTGCTCTCACGCACTCCCCGTGCCTCTCACCCACTCCACGTGCCTCTCACTCACTCCACGTGCCTCTCACTCACTCCCCGTGCCTCTCACTCACTCCCACGTGCCCTCTCACTCACTCCACGTGCCTCTCACTCACTCCGCGTGCCTCTCACTCACTCCACGTGCCTCTCACCCACCCCACGTGGGTCTCACTCACGCCCCGTGCCTCTCACCCACCCCACGTGCCTCTCACCCACTCCCCGTGCCTCTCACTCACTCCCCGTGCCTCTCACTCACTCCACGTGCCTCTCACTCACTCCGCGTGCCTCTCACTCACTCCACGTGCCTCTCACTCACTCCCCGTGCCTCTCACTCACTCCACGTGCCTCTCACTCACTCCACGTGCCTCTCACTCACTCCGCGTGCCTCTCACTCACTCCCGTGCTCTCACTCACTCCGGCGTGCTCTCACCATCCCCGTGCTCTCAACTCACCCCACGTGCCTCTCACTCACTCCCCGTGCCTCTCACCCACTCCGCGTGCCTCTCACTCACTCACGTGCCTCTCACTCCACTCCCCGTGCCTCTCACTCACTCCACGTGCTCTCACTCACTCCACGTGCCTCTCACCCACTCCCCGTGCCTCTCACCCACTCCCCGTGCCTCTCACTCACTCCACGTGCCTCTCACCCGCTCCCCGTGCCTCTCACCCACTCCACGTGTCTCACTCACTCCACGTGCCTCTCACTCACTCCACGTGCCTCTCACTCACTCCACGTGCTCTCATCACTCCACGTGCCTCTCACCACTCCCGTGCCTCTCACCACTCCCGCGGCCTCTCACTCACTCCCCGTGCCTCTCACCCACTCCACGTGCCTCTCACCCACTCCACGTGGCTCTCACTCACTCCACGTGCCTCTCACCCACTCCACGTGCCTCTCACTCACTCCACGTGCCTCTCACCACTCCACGTGCCTCTCACTCACTCCACGTGCCTCTCACCCACTCCACGTGCCCTCTCACTCCACTCCGCGTGCCTCTCACTCACCTCCACGTGCCTCTCACTCACTCCACGTGCCTCTCACTCACTCCGCGTGCCTCTCACTCACTCCCCGTGCCTCTCACTCACTCCACGTGCCTCTCACTCACTCACCGTGCCTCTCACTCACGCCCCGTGCCTCTCACCCACCCCACGTGCCTCTCACTCACTCCACGTGCCT